GAGCAACAGCGTCAATAATGACTGAAATCCATGGTTACATTTCACTAAATGTTTACGAAATTATATTGTTCTTTTTAAATATTTTAAATGTTTACATTACGTAAAGTATTGAGATATGTCATAAATTTTTGTTTCTTTGCTTGCTGATACTTGCCTTTGTTTTTTGTTGTTTTTTTTTGTTTGTACTTATATGCATCATTAATTATTGATCAAAAGAAGCTATATAAACGCACTGAATATCGAAAATATCTCATTCAAAATATCTGAATAATACCACTGGATAAATGACTTTCAAATTGAAAGACTCGGCATTCTTTTTTTCCAACATGTTCTTGTGTAAATATTTAATGATATATCCTCTATTGCAACATATACTTCTTTTATAAGCACAACTCTGGACTTTGACTATTCAAAATCCTGAAATAACCTTTCATTGAATCTTAACTCAATACTCTCTATAATATATTTTATTGAAACCCTCTTGTGCTCCGTAGAATTTCAAATTGTACGCTATAAATAAGATAAAAAATGAAGTAAGTGATGTGAAGCGGGATTGAATTTACTGAGAGCACGTTCTATAATATGAGTGATGGAAAGTGGATCCTTGTTGTACTAGATCGTGAGATCCTTAAAAGGCAGTGACCAAGTAAGCCACAAATTATTTATGTATAAACTTCTGTAAAATATTTTCTACTGGAACGCACGTTAGTAGTGGCGTCCATTTTTATTTGTTATTAGAATAAATAAATGTATTGATCCCGTGTGAACATGTCAGAAGCACATCATACATTTATTGATTTCAGTATAAATCCATAAGTACTAGCACTGGTGTTGGATGGAACTGCTAGGATCAGATGCTCAGTACAGCGTTTACGAAATACTACATTGCGCATGACATGTCACTTGAAACTTTCCGTTTTTGTCCAAAGAGGATTAATTGAAATGCGTGTTGAAACACCTGTACCTGAATATATTACAGCATACGAAGAAAGTACTCTTTTAACCTGTTTTTTTTTCAGTAAATCAAATGACCTGACTTAAAGTAATTTAACCTATCGAAAAAGTAGGGTTATAAATGAAAGCGTTGGCAGTGAATTAGTAACTGATAATCGTTAATGTATTTGCTGCAAGCTATCATAATGAATATGTATTTCGATAAAGTACATGTTTTTTCCCACTTTTCCAATTTTACGATTTGGTGTTTTGTGTTAAACTGCTTAAAAGACCAAAGGAACTTCGATTTGAATACAATAGTAAATGTAGTTTATGGGTTTATCTACAGCTATGAATAACAATATTGGATGTTGATTTTCTTACAGCCAAAACGTGTCATAATTCATACAATTTGTAGCATATTTTAGATACTTGATTATATTTTGTTTTCAAAAAATTTATTATTATTCATACTCATAGCTAAAGTATGCTAAATGCATAATTCACATTTAATAAAACTAAAACATTAAAGATAACTAACAGTTGGCGGAAACAATGCGTTTTTTTTAAAGAATTGGAATCAAGATAATACGTTGTTTTGATAACAGAGTCGTGGTACTGTTAATTCGTGTTGGTTGGTAAGATCTCTTTTATAACGGTTACTGAAATTCGTTTCGGTATATTTGTTACGATGTTTGCTAAGATCACTGAAAAAATGTGTGTTAAGTGTGTTAAAGTGTTAGCATATGTGACAGTTGAGAAACACCAGATCTTACCCTTCTATAGTTACAAATGAATATAGTTTCGTGCAAACTTTTCGTGCAGATGTTCTACATTTAGTCAGCATCCTAATGAACAGGATGTAAGTAGTCGTAAATTTGTTATAATCCTCAACTCACGTTAAGATTACATCAATGTCCTTTCAGAGAGCTTATACTATCTTAGCTAAACCTCTGTATTGTTTCTTCCCTAAGATTTTGGTTATACCCAAGCTTAGAGGTGGTACTGTGGTTTATACAAGTTATTATTGGAAGTTAATCTTCCCTTGAAGATCTATGATGATGATCATCATAGATCACTTACGTATGATTGGTATATTGCACCATAATTTTTAATAACACCTGTAAATGCGATATAGACATAATCCTTCCATCTCTTGTCTGGAAAGGACGTACAATCATTTCTGTTCTCTTTGACAGGAAAACTATTTCTTCTCGCTGCAGCAGACAAAGTTGTTTGAAAGTTATCGAATCTGGTTAGTTGTATTGTAAAAAAACAACAACAAAAAAACACACACTTACACATCAAGTATGTGTTTGTGTAAGAAATAAAGTATGCTTTTGAAGTTTCCTTTCTTGTTCGTGTTCATTGTATGTAATGACAAGCAAATTTTTCCGGACATCCCTCGTATTCCGGACGTAGCACCTATGTTTTGTCTCTAGTCTTCCCTGATAATATCACAAGTTAAATATTTATCTTCACCACTTTATATAACCACTCAGGTAACCATGGTGATGTAGATTTTTGAGATTTTACATTCTATCTCACTTTCAAACTAAGACACTTTAAATTTTTCACTTGACAAGCTTAATAACGATAATTATAAGTTTCAAAGTTTACGATTTTCTGAAGAAAATAACAAAACCTAAACTAATTATGCTTAAATTATATAGTGTGCTAACCATCGTCATAAAATATTTCCCTCTGAATCTAAACTCTACCAATTATCATACGACAATTGGAATAGTTTGTTCTCGATTTTTTAAGTCTTTTTAACACAGAAATATATATATATATATATAAAGAAATGAGTGTAAATCTGATAGTACAATAAAACTACATCCTCGAGTTACTTCCTTTTGTAACAAACCTTGTTCATCATCTACCTTCAATCTGTATGTTTAAGTTATATTTGTATTTTGATAATTATTTAAAAAAATATTTTACAATTTTAAAATCATGTGGAAGGTAGAAAACTTAGTTATTATGGTATATAACTCCTTACACTGGCGAAGTTTGATTGGTGGGTTTATGCGAAATTACATCCCAATAAGACTGATAGTAATTATCTACAAATCTGGCACACATCTCGGCAGCAAGTAGCAAAGAATTCAACAGAAAAACTATGATGAAAAGATAAATTTACCGGTTGTTTGTACAATTTTCTTTCCAGTTTAATTAACCAAGTATTCATCATAAGTGCTCTTGAAATGCTACATATAACAAGATTATATTATCTTCAGACAGATGCGCTACTTTCGAGCTCTTGCAGGTTTTATATGCAAGTTAATGAGATTGAAATCTCGCACCAACAACATTCCTCTGAAGACTGATAGCTAGTTTAGTGACAATAGGTTTTAATTAATTAATTTTTGTATTATATAGGTTGTGCGCATATATGTGGATGTGTAAGTAATGTAGAATATATGTATAACAACAATGCACTGTAGTGAATACGTATTGTAGTTTATACAATACGTGGTAAAGAAACTTTTAAAAATGAATCTAACAAGAGGGCATATTTATGCATTGTTATTCTTATTTCACCCAATGTTTAAAAGTATATGAATCTAAAATCATTTCCACACACACAAATACAATAGCAAATTGGCAAATTTCAACTTATATATCTTGATATCAAGTTATATCTTGATATGTGTGAAACAATTAATAAATATTTTTTCCCTGTGAAAATGTGCATTTCACTTTATAATGTGAGGGAAAACACTAGTAGATTAACTGACGTCATGAACAGGATTAACGACATCACACACTAAACATTGTTATGTAGTTTCATGAACTCCCACTTGGTGTCGTAACATTTTCAAAAATCATTTTTGTTACTTTCACATTAGGCATCCACTTCTTTAGAAATACACTCCGCTAATAATATAGCATGTTACTTAATCAAATTGTCTGATCAGGGATCAAATTATTTACTAATAAACTCATCTGATCAGGGATCAAATTATTTACTAATAAACTCATCTGATCAGGGATCAAATTATTTACTAATAAACTCATCTGATCAAGCATCACCTTATTCGAGATGAACGGAAAGAAACCACAAATGCTGCTTGAGTCAGTCTGATTTAGTTTTATTTCTACGTTCTATTTGAACGCTTTCGTTACAAAACATGGAGTTTGAGAATGCTCAGATTTTCATCCTCCAGTTTCTCTTCAGATTTATTAACTAAAATTATAATAATTTGAGAATATATCGTCACCATATCTGGAGACCAGTTGAATAATTCATTTCCGACCATTATCATGTCCAATCTGGCAGCTGTAGCCTGATAACGGAGCTTGTGATTAAACGAAATATCTCTTTAGATAAGTAGTTTCCATGGATAGCCTTTTTTTTACACGCCCCTTTCTTTTTATACTGGAAGAACAGGATCGTTGGATTGTTACGTTATTTCTTTTCGTGATGAAAAGGTTACATCAGATATAACCAGTTAACAAAAAGCATGCTTTTCTGTCAAATGCATAGTACAGTATACAGTCTTTGCGATGGAATAAGATATGAGGTAGAGAATGCGCTAGACATATTTTATACCTTGTTGTTGTTTTTTTTTTTAGATTAAGGATTAGCTAAATTCATCCTTTTCTGGCTCCTCTCATCTCCTCAGTTGCATCAGCCAACACTATTATAAATCTCTTTTAACCGAAAACTTTATCAAGGGCAAATGTGAAAGACTATTTTTCAACTTTTGCTCTCCAGTGCTACCTATTCCAGTTTGCCATAAATGTTTGAACAAACTTTGTATATTTGTTCGAAGAATAAGGCAGATGTTATGTAAGTGCTAATACGATCAGACGAAGTTTGAATGTTTTACTGTCTCTTGGCACATTCAGTAGTGAACACAACGTTTTGACACGAATACATGATCAGAAGATACATATCAATATTATATCAGTAGAAAATACGTCTATAGTCAAGTAAAATTTCAAATATATGTATGTATACAATAAAAAAAGCACCCTGTCTGAATCAGAATTGTAATTTATCCAGATAGTTTGATTTTGTTTGTATTCATCGTATGCAACGAACCATTGCTTTTCAGGAAAGTTCAGCATACTCGACAAGAAACCACTCCTGGAACTACCTCAGCGCCGCCACCTGTTCAAACTCAGCAACAACAGCTTTGCCCACAGTGTCACGTGACTGTGCTAACAGCTGAAACCATGTCCCAGTGTACAGACTGTAAAATAGCCGCCTGTCGGAAATGTGGAACATCACTGGCAGAAGCAGATGGAAGGGTAAGACAATTACATTTCTATTCAAATATTACTTCGTACACGATGTACCCCGGTTGGTCAGCGGTAAGTTTACTGACAAACAATGCTGTCCGTGATGGACAGAGTGCAGATAGCTCATTGTGTAGCTTTGCACTTAGAAAACAACAACAACATTATAGGACAGACCTATATTTCCAAAACTTATAATTATCCTATACAACAACCTTGATATTATTAATATGTAATATACTATTGTAAAGTTGGTATTATGCGGTTAGTTCCGAAGAACATACTAGGGCCCGGCATGGCCAGGTGTTTAAGGCACTCGATTCGCAATCGGAGGGTAGCGGGTTCGAATCCCCGTCACACCAAACATGCTCGCCCTTTCAGCCGTGGGCGTTATAATGTTACGGTCAATCCTACTATTCGTTGGTAAAAGAGTAGCCCAAGAGTTGGCGGTGAGTGGTGATAACTAGCTGCCTT